GATGAAGAGTTGGGCACTGTCACTGTGGGGGAGTGCAATGGAATTAATCCTATCTGAATCTTTTTTTTGGTACTGGGGATTGAACTCGGGACTTTTCGCTTTCGAGGCAGGCGGCAGAACCACTGAACTAAATCCCAGGCCCGCCTATCTGAATCTTAATACAATGTAAAAACATTGAAAGATTACTTAGAAAGTAATACAACATTTTATATTAATTGTCTCCTTTTAAGGAATGAATTCTGTTGTTTTTTCTGTAGCTTCTATAAACCTCTCATGGAAGTTGATTAATATTCTTTATTTCTTGCTATAGATGATTTCTATAGTGTGACTATTTAGGATACAGAAAGTTCCAATGTGAATTTAATGTGTGTTAATTTTGTTCTTGGTCTCTAGGTTTCATTGCTTCAGACATGACGTCAAGACACTCCAGCACCCAGTTGTGGTTAATTACGCATTACCATGAAATGGGATCGTTGTACGACTATCTTCAGCTCACTACTCTGGATACAGTTAGCTGCCTTCGAATAGTGCTGTCCATAGCGAGTGGTCTTGCACATTTGCACATAGAGATATTTGGGACCCAAGGGAAACCAGCCATTGCCCATCGAGATTTAAAGAGCAAAAATATCCTAGTGAAGAAGAATGGACAGTGTTGCATAGCAGATTTGGGTAAATTTTTAAAAATACTTAAAACTTACCAATTTTAACCATTGTCATATTACAATATCCAGCCAGGATGTACCTCTTTTTTCTAATATGTTACAAAAATCTTCAAACAAAAATTTGAAACAACATTGTAGTCAACACCTACCACCTATGTTTTCCCAGTAACACTTTACTGTTTTGTCATGTATCTGTCCATCCATCAGCTCATCTTAATGTTTGATACAGCTCAAAGTAAGTTGCAAACAAAAGAACCTTTTCCTCTAATGACTTCAACACCCATACTAGTGTACCATTAACTAAAGTACCTTACTTGTTTATTCTTTTCTTCTTTCCAGGTAAAATTTACGTATGATGAAATATATAAATCTTAGGTACATTCTTAGAGTTCGACAAATGTTGTAAATTCCGAATCTCTACAGACTCCCTCAGTACTCTGGAAAGTCACTTCAGGCTCATTCGGTTGGTCCCTGCCCCACCATCGGAGACGGACAATACTGTTGTGGACAATACTGTTACTTTTTTTTTTTTTGGTACCGGGGATCGAACTTGGGTCCTTGTGCTTGCGCAACAGGCGATGAAACCACTGAGCTAAATCCCCGGCCCCCGTTACATTTTGATTTCACAAAGCTCACATGAAATAGGGGCACAACTACATATTCTGTGGAATGGTTTTGTCTTTTTTTTTTTTAAAAAGGTTTCTAAAATCATTCTTCTATTGCCAAGACAAATTAATCAATTTGAGGAGGAAAATAACTCTCAAAGTAGTTAACCCTTTGCCTTGCTGAAGTACCTCATTTTTATGTTAGGATAATGCTCATTGTATCTATAAATAAAATTATTTTCATGTATAGTGCCATTGTATATAAAACTATACTCACCCTAGGCTTTAAAATATTGGCTGAATAATTGTGCTAATAAGAAATAAGTTGTAATTATTAGTCATCATTTCTATGGACTATTGAGAGTCCTCATTTATTGTGATTAAAAATGTTTTACAACTGGGCATGGTGGCACATGCCTGTAACCCCAGCATTCAGGGAGACTAAGGCTGGAGGATCTCAATTTAAACCCTAACCTAGACAACTTAGTGACTTATCAAGACCCTGTCTTAAAATTAAAAAAATAAAAAAGGGCTGGGGATGTAGTTCAGCGTGAAAACCCTGGGTTCAACCCCTAATATTGAAAAAAAAATTAGGCTGATAAAGGTTTAGGCAAAATTAACTTTCATTATGTAAATAATAAAATTTGTTTTTGTTTTTAATGATGGAATTTGACATGTTGGGAAAATTTCCTTCCTTTGAATACCTGGAAAGTATTAGTGTTCATGATGAGAAATTATTTTACAGTGTTTCCCACATGTAAGAGCATGATTCTAAAGCCTTTCACAGTCACTTTAGCTGTGGTGTAGACTTTTATGATTTATGTCATAGCTTCTAGAGCCATAGTGATTTGGGTTGGGATTCTGACTTTTGCTAATATTTATACTGTATTTTTGCACAAGTCAGTTTATCCAGCCAAAGTGCTGACACTGTTTATGCTCAGAACAAGGGTTGGGACCTTACCCAAGAGGGATTCCAGCATTTGATGCCATGTACCAAACCTCTGCGTTGTTGGAAACTTTCATAATTATGTGTTCATGTATTACTCATCTAACCAAAAAACAGTTGGACCTACCTCACAGGATTGAGGTGGGACTCAGAAATCATTGTAAACACTGCGAGTAATAAAGATGGAAACAGTAGCTGCTGTTAAGATCTCATGGTTGGGGGAGGATGGACAGAGTGAGGCAGCTCTTGGCTTTGGTTATGGGGCTCAGTGGAGGTGAGGCTCAGCTAACAAATTTTGTAGCTTTTCACTTAGATACCCGAGTTGTGTAAAAATCTGTGCTCTGGAATCCTTTTTTCAAGTGATTGATAATGTACTGTAGAAAACAACTTGTATAAGCCCATAATTTGTATATAATTTTTACATCATGCCCAGAAGTTAAGGGTCACTCATTAGAAATAATGTTCTATTATTAATACTGCCTACAGACCAGTTTTCCATTTTTCTGGAACTTTTTATTATATAAAAGTTCAAGCTTGGCATGGTGGTGCACCCCTGTAATCCCAGCACTCAGGAGGCCGAGGCAGGAGGATTGCTGTGAGTTTGAGGCCAGCCTGGGCTACATAGTGAATTCATGGCTAGCCTGAACTATATAGCAAGACCCTGTCTCATAAAACAGAAAAAAACAAAACAAAAAACCCCAAAAATTCAAGCATACAAATGGATTTAAAAAGTGTTATAACCACTTTTAATCCTCAACATCTAGGTTCAAAATTTGATAAAATTTTGCCAGATGACTGGTTCTGGAAATGGTGGGTGGGTGTATATGATTTGAGAAATGTTCATGATGGTCATAGAATCTTGGAGTTGATTACAAAGATTGGAGAAAGAGGAGCCAGTCTGCTTTAGTTGAAGGCAGTTGCCACTGTCTTTGCTAATTATTAAGGGTGAGATAACAGGTGCAGTCTTCTGGGCATCCTATGGAGTCATCATCCCATAGATTAAAGCCATGGAGTGGGAGGAGGAGCATTCTCCAAAGATAGTTTGAGGGATTTCCAGAGGATCTTTGGATTGCCAAAGTTTACAGGGGCAGCTTACTTCACTTTGGCACTTTTTATTATATTGAATGTTACAGGAAGCATTCATAGTTGTTCTGTATATGAACCAATAAGTAATTCCATCCTTAAATAAACCATGCATGAATCTGTTTATTCCCACTGGCTCATAAGGGATACCAGGTCTCTAATTGACTGAGGAATTCTGACATGAGCCATGGTTGAAGTGTTTCAGAGCCACAAGTGTGAGATGTGCTTTGAATTGAGGTCCAGGCCAGGGCTGTCTGTTCCTGTGATTCTGGAGAAAGGCCTGTGGGTTTGCTCAGCCTTGATACCCAGAGGAGCAGCTCTCTGTCAAGGGTGCAGCAGTGCCCACTGCAGCCTGCCATTTATGTGGTGATAAATTACCTCAGAGGCTCTGTCTCATGCTATTGGAAATTTGTGTTTGGAGACTAGTGGGAGCAGTGGTGGAGCTTGAGAGCTTAATTTGCTTTGTGTTAAGCTCCATGTGAGCCTGTTTTCCTGTAGACTTGAAACACTGACCTTGTGCTGCTTTGCTGCATTGACCTGCCATTTGTCCAAAACTTTTTATCTCCTAGAGGTTTATATGTTAATCTGGTAGCCTCATAGTATTTCTGGCATCAGTCCTTTCCTCCTCTCCCAAAATCACCACTAGGAGTATTCCAGGGACTGAGTGTAACCCAGCAGTCACCACACATACCACCAGAGGGAGCTTTTGATTGGGGTGGCCCTCTGTGAGAAAGGAAGTGAGCTAATTCCACTGTTATCTTCTTCCTTTTAGGCCTGGCAGTCATGCATTCCCAGAGTACTAATCAACTTGATGTGGGGAACAACCCCCGTGTGGGCACCAAGCGCTACATGGCCCCTGAAGTTCTAGATGAAACCATCCAGGTGGATTGTTTTGATTCTTACAAGAGGGTCGATATTTGGGCCTTTGGACTTGTTTTGTGGGAAGTAGCCAGGCGGATGGTGAGCAATGGTAGGTATCTGTTGCGATACTTTCTTTGTCCACCTTCTCTTAATACTGCTCTTGTGAAAAGGGCAAAGGGGAATATAGAAGCCCACAGTGTTTCTTGAATCATACTTGTTAAACTATAGGCATGTATATTTGACTCATGGTGAGTAGGTGTAGTGTAATGGCATTATATTTGCAACACAAGAGAGAAAATGATAGTTAAAAACTATTCCTGGGAGAGATTAATTATTCCTTGGTTTTAGTTTAGATTGGTCCATATTTCCCTTCTCCCTCTGTCTTCCTATTTTGCTTGCTTCTCACCTTTCTTTTCTCTTTGTTGTACTTACAAGGTAGATTTACCTAGAGAAGAATGTTTAAGCCTGAAGGTGAATTCTGCTTCTTTAGTTAATTTTATTTATGATTGGATTTTTGGGCTCAGTTATCACACTCAGCAGTTATTCCTTTGTAAAAAGTGGACTGTGCCTCCTGATGAATCAAGTTTATATTCAAGGAGCTCTGGATAGGTGGTTTATGTTGATTTGTTGATAAGTAATTTTATGAAATGGTGTTGCCTCAGCAGTTGAGGAAGCATTTATCACTAAATTTTGGCCTGTATTTCCTACACTAAGTTCTTAATCTTTTCTTTTGTGTACCTAAATTGGCCTCAGATACACAGTTGAACTAATTTAAATACATTATATTCAGAAAGCACTGAGTATTACTTTTTCAAATTGGGCATGCCACCCCAACCCACAGAGTGGTTTTTGTTTTTTTTAATAGCAGAATCCCTTGAATCAATGTGAACTTCTTCATAGCTTCACGACTGGAAATCTTACTTCACAGAGCATGTATCTGAAAAGGTCCTAGGAGAACAAAAGAAAATGCCATATATTTAGATTTGTATTTGTTTCCAAATGATATTTTACTGTTTACCCTCTGTGACCCATTGGTACCCTGAATTTAAGAAATAATGCAAGAAGTCTTTAACATCTATTCTCCATCTCACCTTGCACTGATGTTTTATTTGTAAGGGTTGACATTTGTGGGGAATCATACTTTTTCTTGACTAACACAACTAGAAATTAGGATAGTCTATGATAGAAGTAGGATTGGATAATTTTATATAGTTTTGTGTACAATAATTAAAATTAGCATATCTTCATGGAAGCTTTCTTTTGTACCAGTAGAGTGTGTCTGCTTTGAACAAACCTCTTAGGGTATTAAAGCAAGTGTTTCAGATTAAGCATACAGGGATTATAACTTGACAATTTTTTAAGATACTTTTTTATTGTTAAGCGAAGTCATAAACATTTTCTTGGTAATTATTTCTCAATCCTTGGGAGCCACTGTCTTGCAGTTTGTGCCATTGAAGTGTCTTGGGAATTGTTTGCGACAGATTGTTTTGCTGATTTATAAAGTTCTGAACTTTGCCTGAAATTGCACATGAACTTCATTTCCTCACCCACTCCCCAATTATTCTTGAGCATCTTGGAACAGGGGGAAAAAATCTAGCTCTGATTAGTTTACCTTAGCAGAGACTTTAGAGAAGGATTGGTGTCAGAATAAACCGTGTGACAGGGAACTTCCCCACGTGGAGAGGAGACTGGCAGCTCACAGCCAGCACGGTAGCATTTCCAGCTGTGGGTGTGCCGGCGTGCAGCCAGGCAGGCCTGCTTGGCAGAATCTTGAGATTCAGGCTTTGTAAGAACTCATATTGCAAACTCACCCTCCGTGTCACAAGTGTAGACTCAAATGGCTTTTAAAGATCAGCTGTGATTAACAGTCAGTTTGAAGTGAAGAGTCATCCATTTAAAATTTAGCTCAACACATGTTAGCTTGCTTGTTAGATTCTGTGTTTAACATTATTTTTAGAAAGAAGAAATCATGGGTGGCAGAGGAAGGGAGAATGTTTTGGTTGTTTTTAGATTTATTGATCTCTCCTTTGCATCATCATTTAGATGGTGAGGTAGCTCCTAAAAATTTGTAGGTTGAGCTTCTGTTCTGTGATATGGTTTGACTCTTAGGGTGAGCTAAGGGTGTTGTATTTCTCATTTTAAATCAGTTGTTGTCCTTTGGGAATGACTAATATTATATTTTGCCTTTCTCTTTTTCTAATCCCTTTTCTCCTATGAACATTTATAATGGTACACACACGTGTACACACACACACACACACACACACACACACACACGGTGCTATAGATAATTTTCTCCAGATGCAAACTTGTAAGTGTTCCATCTCAGTTGAAACTACTATATTAATATTAACATTTTAGTTATTACTCCCACAAAACAGAAAAGTGAGTAGAAAGGAAAAAATAAGAGAAATTTTGCCCTCAAATTCCAGCATTCATGTTTCCTTTCTCTTCTCTGTGCACCCATTTTAAAAACTCATTTGTAATCCAGGTATAATTCTGTCTCATCTTTTTCACTTTAGTATGGTTTTTAATATTTTTAAGTAGTCTCTGTTCTTATTTTAAGTGGTCACATGATATTTTATTATCTTAAACATTTCCATATTGTTAAATATCCTGCCTTCCCCATTTGGGGCCCGTGGTGGACATTTTTATGCATATCATTTTTCATTTGGGAAATTAATTCCTACTCTGAAAAGAAGCAGACTTAATAGGTCAAAGACTGTGGACATTTTAATGACTTGCCACACACTACCAAATCGCTTTCCATAAGGTTGTTCTAATTTATAGAATCTTCCTCACTCCAGGGTATGATATACCTATTTCAATTTCTCACTAGCTTTAGGAACCATCATTAAGCATATATATTTTTAAAATTATTGTATATAAAATGTACCTCATTTAAATATATGAATGTCTTATATTAAGAAGGTTATTATAATTATGCATCCTTTGAGTTTCTGAGTCCATTATAAAAAATGATGACCAGATAGTTCTCTTGGAGCAATATCATCCTCAAGTGAACTGTGAGCATAAAATTTTGTAGCATTTTTATTTTTATTGGAATTTTACATTTATTTTCTGCTAATAATAAACCTCACCCTGTTTCTATATAGGAAATGACAGTTAAGTCCATTTTCACATTTGAAAATTTCTCAGTAGTATCTTTTGGAATTTACTGATGGTGTTAGTTTGACACTGATTCTGGAGTTGGTAGGAAAGAAAATGGTTTGGTTACCTTTCCTGTTTGGATTTCTGTATGAACTTAAGGTAGAAGTCTGCTTGGTTCACTAGTACTGAGGCTGGATCCTGCAGCAGTCACCTGCAACACACCTAAGACACACAGGGCTGCATCTCAACCCTGGAATTTCTTTTTTTTTCATTAAGTTTATTGGTACATTTTAGGTGTACAATACAGTTACATTCATCATTGGGAACTTGTACCATTACATGATGTATCTTGGTTCTTATTTTGTCCCCATTCCCCTGCCCTCCCTTCAACCCCTCAACCCCTCACTATTTACAAAGACTTTGTTTCCATTTTTTCCTTTTTTCATATTTTTTCTTTTCCCTTCTTTCCTTTTCCTTACTCCTTCCAATTCCCCTACCCCTTTAGACCTTTTCTTCCTATTTCACACTATCAATTATACATTTTGATCCTTATTTACACTTTTAGTTTCTCACACCAGAGAAACTATTTGGTATTAACACGTGTGTCCTATTTATTTCACTTAAGAGTATGGTCTCAATGTGCATCCATTTAGCTATAAATGTCTCTAGTTTCTCGTTCTTTATGGCTGAGTAGTACTCCATTTTATAAAAAAAAAACCCACATCTTTATCTAGTCTCCAGTTGATGGGCAATTGGGCTGTTTCCAATTTTAGCTATTACAAACTGTGCTGCTATAAACATGGGTGCACATATATTGCTGTGGTATGATTCTTTTAGTTCTTTTGGGAAGATACCCAGTAAAGGAATAGCTGGGTCAAATGGGAACTCTAATCCTAGTTTTTTCAGGTATCTCTGTATTGATTTCCACAGTAGTTGCACCAGTCTTCACTCCCACCAACAAATAGAGAAGGGTTCCTTTCTCCCCACCACCCCACCAGCATTTGTTATTGGTTGATTTCTTTTGGTACTGGGGATCGAACTCGGGTCCTTACGCTTGCATAGCAGGCAGCGAAACCACTGAGCTAAATCCCCGGCCCAATTGGTTGATTTCTTGATAGCAGCCATCCTTTCTGGGGTAAGGTGGAATCTCAGCGTTGTTTTCATCTGCGTCTCTCGAATGACCAATGATGTTGAACATTTTTCATATATTTATTTGCTGCTTTTACTTCTTTGTCTGAAAAATGTCTGTTCATTTCAGATGCCCATTTTTGAATTGGGTCTTTATATTTGGGGGGTTTGATTTTTTTGAGTTCTTTATATATTCTAGGTAGTAATCCTTTGTCTGAGGAACAGCTGATAAAAATTTTTCTCACATTGTAGGTTGTCTCTTAGCTCTGTTGGTGGTTTCTCTAGCAGTGCAGAAGCTTTTTAATGAGATCCCAATTGTTGATTCTTTGTGCTAGTTCCTGTGCTACTGAGGTTTTGTTCATAAAGTCTTTTCCTATGCCAATGTCTTCAAGAATTCTACTTATCTTCCAGCAAGTTTAGTGTTTCTGTTTTAATATTTAGATCTTTGATCCACTTCAATTTTAATTTAGTGGATGGTGAAAGATATGGGTCTAGTTTTAATCTTTGGCAGGTTGAAATCCAGTTTTTCCAACACCATTTATTAAAGAGGCTATCTTTCCTCCAGTGAGG